GTGCTAGAAAAGGTAGACGAAGGGAGTCGTAAATTGGCTTCTCCAGAAACCGAATAAGGATTGCCTTAGGGTTTCGACTATAGGTTTAAGAAAATAAATCATCACATCCTGCGAACACGGTAAACCCGTCCTAATTATTTGTGTCAGCCACTCACTTGTTGCAGTTTTTGTGAATTTGAAGCAACGAAATAGGTGTATGTCAGCATCAAAAGACTTTCAATTTGACCTTCAAAGAATATCATTATCCTCTTTTGCACACATTCATTTCAAAACAAAATATTGTAAGCATTGTAACCGAGGGATTAGAAATAACAAACAGATTTGTTGATAATATAAAGTTACACTCTAAAGAGTTTTGATAACACAAGATTGCGTCATTAACAAAAATCAACAAAGATCATGTTTGAGCATACACAAGCGTCTAGAATAAAATTAAATGAAGAAAAATCAAGTAGGATGGCAAATAATAAATAATGCCTCAATTAATAACTAAACTTAGATAACTAATCCCTAGGTAAGCAAATTAAAAATTTGACTATCAAAAGAAATTCTTCCCTTGAACTATAGGAAGTTAAGCGCAAGCAATGGCACAATATGTGGGAAACCATAACTGTAACCTTAAATTTGAGAAAGTACAATCGACATAAATAATTAAAATATTAATAATTAATGTTATGCAAAACAAACCAGTTTTAAAAGATAAATGAATACATAGATATATGCAAACTAAGCAATTTGGATTCGAGAAGAATGTTACAAAGTTTAATGAACGAAATGATATTGGTGCTAAGATGAGCTAATAATGTTGACGAAAAGTTTGCAACTGATGTGGTAGTTATTTATGGAATAATTTAATATTCAGTTAAGATTTATTCAGATCCGATTTAAATATTTTTTAAAAGGTAAATAGAGAAAATTCAATCGTAAAGTTATGCAATCAAAGGGAATGGCTCACAATACATAAAATAAACCATTTAAAAGTATGTTTTTGAAAAAATAATGCCTATTTTAGGGAGCGTTTACTTGCTAAGTTTTAAAAGTTTTTTTATTAAAAAGAATTAGGTATGCATACCTTGCAATTTCGAGATAGCCACATGAAGCCGTCGCATGAAGTGGTGTCCAACCTTCATTATCCTGAACGTTAACATTTGCGCCTCGCTCGACAAGAAATTTGACGAGATCGTAGTCGCAATCTATACAAGCCTAAAGTATTGAAATAGACAGAATTAAGCACAAACCTGGTGTAATGAGGTAAGACCATCAACATTAGCTACATTAATATCAATTCCAAGGGAAAGAAGTCGATTAATTTCCTCCATATCGCTGTTGCTGCATGCGGCCCAGAATTGAACCGAGATTGGGAATTCTATTTTTTCAGCAACTTTCCAATCACCAGGAACTTGATTAGCTTCTGACTTTCCCCAATTCTCCATCTGAAATTTTCGCCGCTGAAGCACATTAAGAGTGCATAATTCTTCCCCCATTTGATAGTTGCAAGGTTTAAAGAGGTTTATGAAGATAAAAATTCCGAGATGAGCATCGCCAGAAATAGAAAAATCCACCGGAATGCAGCCAAATGAAAGCACAGAAGTCGAAGGTTTCGCCTCAAGGCAAATTGATTCGGACAAACAATAAAACTAAACTCTAATAGGATAAAATAATGATTCAACAATATACATAACCCTTATTTATTTAATTTATAAGTGCCTGTAACAAAAAATATGACAATTAGTTATTTTTTTACTTCTTTTTATAATCCTTGCTTGATTAATTTTAACTAGATTTCACACCTAATTAGTTTAATAAGAAAATAACAAATTGTAATAATTATTAAAAAGTTTCTTAAAAACAATTTATTTTTAATTTATTCAGTTATGGTAAGTAATACCGTAAATTCTTATTTATTCACAGCTTTCGTGAGCTGTGTCAAACACACAACAAGCTATATCTTTTATTCCTTTTACTACAATTGTTATAGTTTACACGTTACATGAGAATAAACTATGACTTAAAATCAAATTGTAAACAATGGAAGAATCCAGATAAGAAATAAGAGTTTTGGTGTAAATAACTTAAGTATATG